TAGAAACGTAAAGTTTGGTACCAGCACCTCTTTCGGCAAGAAGAAAAATTTTGGAGGGTGTCCCAAATCCTGTCTCGGAAAAATCTTTTTTTTTCTACCACTCTAATGTACATATTAAAGAAAATAAGGGGATAATCTCTCCCTTCGACACCATATAAACTCCTGGACTCACATTAAACAAATTTGGCTACAAAAATACGGAATCTCTCCGAGCAGTTCAAGGCAAAAATTGAAGAAAAAGTGACTCACTTTCTTCGAAGTTCTTCGATCTTACAGCTACATAGCTTTGACCACCCTTTTGTATCATTTGTATGCTCCTCCGCAAAGGAGAGAGGCTCTGGGGCAAGTTACCACACTAGAAAATTCATTGAATGCCAATAAAAATAAGAAATGATTTCCTGAAAAATTATTTAGCTAAGTTTCAAACTTATCTTGTACCGAGTGTACATACTTTCAAATTAAAGAGAGATACGATTGTACCAACTTTTGCATCCCTGTAGCACATTGCTAATTGAACAGCTGACTGTATGTGAACACCAAAAAACGGTAGCTCAATTGACTCAATTAAATTTCTGTCTGAAATTAGTTTTATTTGTATAAAGTTTTGAAATGTTCCTAATTGATTATGTAAATTAGGCATCATTAGGATACTTCTTATATAAAATTATAACCGCCATGCATAAGACGTACAGGCTTTTTTGGGAGGAAATAAGAATCAACAATTTTGTACGCCCAAGTATGTAGACATTTTATTGTATTCTATTATATATTGTTTAAAAATGAATTATATTTTTATAAATCATACGTTTTTGACAAAAATACACCATAGTAAACTCGACGGCACACAGTGTGCTTTTTGAACACGCCGAATTAATAGTAGCGCTTTCGACAGAATCAATATTTTGATATGAAACAAAATGGCTTTGAAAGCTAATGTAATTGCCTTTGACGGAAAAATATTGCCATTGAGTCACAATTATTCCTTGACCTTAAGAAAATAGGTCCAAAATTTTGTTCTTCGAAAAAAAAACATTCCCCAGCGCTTTCAGGGATTATGAGTTGAAAAACGAGTTAAAGGAAAACTTCAGTAGCATAGTGCTCGACAGCGGGATCATCAACAGAAAGGTACGACGTGCCTATGATCCCGCCGCCTGGCCTACGCAGAGTGCCATTAAAACCTGTCTGCTTGGACTCCGGAAGATAATTACAGACTTTTATTTTATACTAGTCATTGGGCCCTCTCGACCGCTTAAATGAGACTGCGTGCCACTCAATACAAAGCTAAGGGTCCCTAACCAACAGTATCAAATTTATCCAAAATTCTTAATGGCTTTAATAAAACACTTGCTTTGTTAATTTTAAATTTTGTTTGTCCTCTTTACTTTCTTTACACACTGTTCCTGCTTTAATACCCAAATGTTTTGCTTGTGTTTTGTGCGCGTGAAAGCGTGTAAAATGCATGTAATCATAGTCAATAACAACAACAAATTACCAAATCTACTGATAGCATCTACAACAATAACATCATTAACAACAACTACAAAAACAACGCTTATAAAATTGTCATTAAGCATTTAATAGTTGCGTGTCGGCAAGTTGGACTTACAAGCCCTGTGTCAGTAGACGCATCAATAACCGACGGCGGGCGTCGAAACTGGTTTGCTGTTGCTCTTGCCATCGCTGCTGTTGCATAAGTAAGTAATATCCATGAGATCCTTTAGAGAATGCTGCATTTGGGATTGGTGTTGGTGGCGGTGGTGGTGGTGGTGTTGCAGTAGATGTGATTGCTGTTTGTGGTTTGGGTGACGCGTGTCAGTCGGCTCATCATTCATTCAGCCGCCAAGATGCCTCATTCAAATGCCTTTTTCGCATCACCTCTACGCAATTTTCCCATAAGCTTACGTGGTAATAGAGGTTTTTTCGTGGATTCCGTTTTTGTTTGTGGTATACATTATGAGCAAATTTTAAAACGATTGCATGATAAGAGTGACACTCGTTTGTGGCACAATCGACTCTCCCACCACGCGGCGGTATGTAGTACCGATTGGAGGAAACCGAGAAATTTGATTTTACAATTAGTTATGTCACTTAACTACCCTTCTTGATTGTGGCTATCTATTAGGTTGGGTTAGCTTAAACGGGCAGCTCTGAGAAGAGTTCACTCGGAGGCCAAAGCGGCCCATTGCGATGCCTATCCCTACATGTCTTTGAACTATTTTGATTCTCTGGCGAATCCTAGCAAACCTTCGAGTGGAAGTTTCCCCAAAGTATCCCGGCTCTCGAAGAAATCGTCCTAAAAACATGGGGCATTTTCCTCGGAGTGCTGGACACTCGCAAAGGAAGTGCTGGACGGATTCTATCTCCTCCTCATCTCTGCAGCTTCTACAGGAGTCGTTATGCGGGGCTACGAACTAGGTGGCCATATGGCAAATGGTTCAGTGCCCCCATTATGTTCCTGTGAGAAGCCTACCGTTTGGATTTGAAAGCCTTAATAAACTCCTTGTCCTTCGTTCGTCAAACCGTGGCCAGAGCGAGCACGATACCATGCAGGTGTGCAGATTTTCCCACCTACTGTTGGTGGCTGCCCTGGTAATTCTCTCGTCTTTTAAAAATAGCTTTCGATAAAATTACATGATTTTAAAACCGACGGAAAACAGATTTACAAATAAGAGTGTTTTGAAAAATCTGTCTTCCAGGAAAATCGGTTTACAAGCGAGCGCATTCCGAAAAAAAATATTCGAAAGTTTAAATTTTTTCCATATTCCGCGGGATAAGGTTCAAAAGCGTTCTATAGGCTTTATGTAAACCTTAACTGTCGCTGGAAAAATAGAAATAGATCTAATCTGGCCACAACCACAGTCGTCGCGTAGCCCGGTCTTCGCCAAAATATTTATCTACATAAGAGTACGTGTTAAAATAATTTGACGGGCTATAAGATAGACTGTCGTTCCGATCTTTCGAAGTTGCGCTTGGAAACCACCCTCATTGTGGAAGACTTTTAAAATATTGAGTTTTAAAATTTTGAGAAAGAAAACCTTAATATTTTTGATTTTTATTTTATGGCGCATTGATAAATTTTGTCTTTTTTTATGTTTTTTTCAAGACTTTACTCAGAATTTTCGTGGGGTCAGGCTTACTTAGAATTTATTACAGACTTTTTGTTAACTGCGGATACTTTTCTCTTTTTTTTCGGGATCTGTAGAGACTTTTCATAACTTTTGTTTTTGTATATAAGACTTTTCAAGACACATTATATTTTTTATTTATTTATTTAAACATAAAACTGGTTGTACAAGTAAGATATTTGTGAATCTTTTAAAGAACATCAACTTAACTTTGTCGATATTTTCTTGGGACTGTGTTCATTTCGGAATTTTTTGAAATTTTTTTTTGAACTTTTTCCAATTTCTCGAGACTTCTTCATTTTTTTTTTCGGAGATTTCATTAGTTTTTATATATTTATTTCTGTTCAGAATTTTCGAGATTTTCAAGTGTTCTTTTAAGTCTTTTGGTTTTGCCTTAAAAGATACAAAAAATATTAATCGGATTTTCTTGTTCTGCACAGAAAAAAAGTATCTAATAAAATAGAAAAAATAACAAGATACTCCTATAGTTTTTTGTTAAGAAGGGGGGAGATCTTTTTAATAAAACCAAAAATAAATATTCTAGTTTTTATAAGGATGCCCAATTAAATGCTAAAAGTAGTCTGCGGCTATCTGTCCTCGAACCCGAGATCTACTGAATGTCAGTTTACGGCTCTACCTATTCAGCTTCTGTGGACGCCTTGCCGGCACTATTCTATTTTGATAATATGAATTACTTGTCATATGGAATTTATGTAAAATGAATTCAGGAAGACTTTACGTAAAATTAACAAGTAATTTTTAGCAAACAACAAAACCGACTTCAATTCTCATATAAAAATTTAAGATTATCGTTCATTTCTTTATCATCCAACGAAATATGCCAAATTAGTATGGGATCAATGAGAAATGACTGGCGTGCTGTTTTGGACTCGGCCAAAATCGCTTAGGCGGTTACAGCGCCAAATAAGAAGAAGAAGAAGTATGGGATCATCTTCGAGGTACCACCTTTCATTTAAAAAAAGAATATAGAAATCGGTTAACATGGTCCAAAGTTATGCGGTAACATACTTAAAAATTAAAAATTAAAAAATATTCCGAAGAATTGATAACATTCTCCTTTTTTGAAGTCGGTTAATAAATATAAAAGGGTAGAAAAAAATAAAACATGCAATTTTTAAGCAAAAACAAAACGAAATCGACTTCAAGGCTTATATAAAAATTTAGGATTCGGTGAATTTTTTCATGATCCAATGATCGAAACAAAAATAAATTCATTGACTACTTTAAGAACATTTGCAAAAATAAAATCAATAAGGACTTTAAATAAAATCAATGAGGAATCTCTTCGGAATTTTATAAGTTTTAAACCGGCTTCAAAAAAAGGAGAAGGTTATCAGTTCGTCGGAATATATATTTTTTATGTATGTTACCGCATAACTTTTAAAATTACCTTTTTTTGTCTATTTTACCCCTTTAGCCTAGAATTTTTTCCGAGAGACAATCTTTTTTTCCATACGTCCTATTTTTCTCTGTGTAAATGATAAGTCAATGTGTAGTTCACTAAACTTCGTTTTATTTTTAACGGAACGGTCTCAGAAGAGAAAATGGCGCTCATACAGTAAGAACTCTTTCTTTAAGTCTTAGCTAGAGATTCTCACTGTTTGTGTTTGCATAAACTTGGTTCACAAAACTGCTAATCGATCGTCTAATCAAGTAAAAAATTGTAGCTCAACACATTACAAAAACGCTCCTATTTACATATGTACACACATACATATGTTTGTATGTATATTCATACGCAGGTACTTAGAAGACGACTAAATAATACAATTTTATTCTTTACGTGCACTTGCTTATCATTTCGCTCTATTTATTTACATAGTTTTTGAATAAATATATCTCTTTCTAAATAAGCGTTGTGTATTCAGTTTTCGATCGAATCGCCGCGCGTCTAGTAGCACAATGCGAGTGTTCCTCGGCATATTAGCTTTGGCCTTAGTCATCACTATCATCACTTTGACCGTTTCAAAAGCGATCCCAACAGATTCTCCTGTAGTTAATATATCTGGGCAAGGTCCAGTGCGCGGCAGCTATGATGAAACATTATGGACAAAACAGCAATTTTTATCATTTCGTGGCATACCATATGCGGAATCGCCAAGTGGAAAGTTGCGCTTTAAGGTTTGTTTCTAGAGAGCATGAATTAAAATGCGGGAAATGTAAGCAGTGTTGAGTGATTGCTAAAACCAAATGCATAAATAAGTGTAACGGCATTAATTAAAAATTCAAAAGTGTAAATATTTAATTATCTAATGCAGTCTAAAGTTGCTTGTTACCCGGAAGTATGTATGCACATTGATGCTGAAGGACTGAATTTAATAAATTTGTTTCTTCTAATGTGTTTGTAGCCATTAGTGGTGGCAAACTATCGATGGCACTATCGATACTATCGATAGGGTTTTTTTCACTATCGATAGTTTTTCAAAACTAACGAGTATTTTCACTGTCGACAATTTTCCAAATTTAAGACACAAAAATGGCGAATGTGCATCGTATAAAGCGGCAATACTTCTATATAAAAGATTATATGGCAACTATGTTGGCCTAACGTCATCAGCAGAAACGGAACCAATTTACAGTAAAGTAGCAACGAAAACCTAAAAATGGCATGCTGTTTCTTAAATTAAATCAATTAGCTTTAGAAAGAAGAATTCGTAAATATGTTTAGTTTTTTAAATTATACTTTCATTATTAAGGTAGGTCCTTATGGTCTTTAAAAAAATATATTACTGCAATGGGGGTGTATTCATAGTCAAAATTAAGTTAGTACTTAAAGTTAGTTGTACCTTTTTTACATAATTTTGGATGGATTATCTGTTAATCAATTTATAACCAACTTTAAGTATCAACTTAATTTTGACTATGAATACGTCCCTATTAGATTTTTATATTTTTTAAAATAGGCGACTATCGATAGACTATCGATAGTTAAAACTACTACTACTACTACTACTACCCACTATCAACAGTCGCGACTATCGATAGTTTGCCACCATTAGTAGCCATAGCCAAGCAAACGAGTCATTAAGGAGTCCTATTTGGGAGCCTTACTCTCATAATGAACTCATTTAAGAGTCCGAAGTGTTTCCCTTCCTCCGAAGATCGACTTATATGAACTTAAATTCATGCTTCGAATGAGCCTCAATATGAGGGACTCTTATTAGCCTCATATATCGATCATTTTGGCCTCTTTTAAGAAAATTTTTGGCCTCATATACGAATGATTTCACACTCATTTTGATGCTCTCAAACTACTCTTATTGGCCACTTTCGGACTCTTATTTTGGGGAGTTCTTTGAGTTTTATTGACCTCATTCTTTGACTTTTATTCAACTCACTATAGAGTCATATTTGCAAAGGCACTCAGCAAAACTGTTTAGATAAAAATTTCGAATATCTATTGTTTTTGTTTTGGCAGAAGAAAAGGGTTGAATAACACTGGTTTACAGCAAAAATGTTCTATGGATGTCACTATCCAATTCCTATGTAAAATTGATCGGTGATTCCGAAAATCGAGTTAATTTATTTCTATAGATACGTTCTCCATATATTTGCAATTTACCGTTATTCAGCTTAAAAAAGAATGATCCCACTTAATCTCCCATATCCTACGAACCAATTGAACAATCGTATAATGAAATATGGAAAATGAAAGCCAATGAAATTTTCTACAAACCGTATGTATCTACATATGTACATACATCACCTTTTGAGAGGCCTGATAGTTTCTAAGAAATTATTTAACAACACTTTAAATTTTTTTAATTGTTCATCAAAAAACAAAAAATCTGGAGTTATTAATTAATTTCTCACAAACTATCATTATCACTATTTATGCAGAATTTCATTGGCTTTCATTTGCCGTACTACGATTGTTCAATTAGTTCGTAAGATATACATGATTAAGTGGAACCACTCTGTTTTTAAGCTGAATAACGGTAAATTGCAAGTATCTCGAAAAGGTAACCATAGAAAAAATTTGTTTTTAGTTTCACTTTTATTTCAACATATTTTGATTAAAAGAAAAATACTGATAAAAATAAAAATTTTCATAAAAACAGGGTTGAAATCTTGAAATTCCTGCCCGTAGTTTGTTTGTAAGTCAAATATGAGTGGCATTGTGCTACTATGATATCACGGCCGAGTAATCATAGCCAACTTATGTACAGTAGTCGAAAAAATTATAGCCGCACCAAATTTTGACAAGTTTTAAAATATTATTTTTGTTGTTATTTAATTTCGGTTAGTTTTTTATAGTTCGTTCTTTACCAACATTCGTATAAATACAAGTTTTTTACATAGCGCCTTTGCAAGTGGACTGCTCAAATTTGGAAACATGAATTTCCACGGGTTTTGTTAAAGAACGAACTACATTTTTTTTTTAAATATAACAAAAGTTCAATAACAACAAATATAATACGTTAAAACTATAATTTCAGAACCCCCTTGGCCAAATATTTTTTTTATTCCGAAATAAAAGTCCTTTCCGGATAACAAACAAACCGCTTATACAAATTAAACCAGTTAGGTATCAAATGAAAGAGGACTTCAATAGCTTTAAAACCTAAGCCACCTATTGAAAAACATTTAAATAAAATATGTTAGTTAATAACCATAGAACAAACTTTGGGTCAGGTATATGAATTTCTTTAGTATTAAATTATAAAAAAAAAAATATAAGGAGAGGTGGTAACCTTCGTTCGTTATTTTTGTTTAAAAGCTATTTCAGTCCTCTTTCATATGATACCAAATTTGTTTAATTTGGATAAGTGTTTTGTGTTTGTTTATTATACGGAAAGGACTTTTATTTCGGAATAAAAAATATTTGGCCAAGCTTAAGTCGTAAAAAATAACTGTTATTTTCGGTCCCTGGAATATTGTGCAAGAGCACTGATAAAACACAGAATAAAGGATTAAAAATGAATTACAAAAACTAAAATCGAAAAACGCTGATGACGTTACAGGTTCTCCATACTCAGAAAGAACCAAAGGAATGAGAATGAAGAATTCTTTGGAAAAGAGCGGTGTTTAAACAACGATCTTGCCATGATGCTAGATTGTGAAGATGAAAGTCAGAAGTATACATTAGGGTGGTCCAAAAATGCATGTGAAAAAGTAAAGTCGAATTTTTATGCTCTCACCCCCTAGGATTATTCTATACCATTTCTACGAAAAATTTCATTTTTCCCATATAAAAATAAATGGAAAACTTTGAGCGCATTGTGCGACCTCTAAATATTTTTTGATTTCAAAATAAAAAATGGGGGTATACTTTTTTTCGATATAGAATAATCCTAGGGGGTGAGAGCATTACAATTCCGACTTTACTACATTTGCAGCCCCGACGCAATTCTCAAAAAGTAATTATTGCACCTCCAAAAAAATAAATAAATATAACTGAAAGACCTCTCAACTGACGCAGCGTCAAACGAAAAGAATTTACCATTTCGTCAAGTTTAAAGTTTTTCAAGTTTGTCACCTCGAGCGAGTAGTTATTTGAGGCGCACCTTTGATTTACGACCCTTTAAGAAACAGGGCTGTAAACCGAAAAGGCAACAACATTACCTATTTTTTAATAAAAAGTTTTTATTAAATATAATGTTCCAATTTTTATATTCATGTACTAAAAAGAAACATAATAAAAAATTACTACCCTTTCCATTTTTTATTTACCTAAATCAACTAATTTACTCACCTGAATTATTTCTTAAAAATACTTGACATCCGCATTCGCATCCGCATCCGCGGATGTCTAAAATTCCACATTCGCAACATTCCTAATAGGGAGGTGGGCGCGGTTACTGCCCGATTTCAAAGACTTTCAACATATTTCTTAGTTGGGCCTTAAGCAAGGCTACTGAGATACAGCATTTCACCATAAGTTGGCGGGTCACGGTCATTTTCCAAAAATTTCATAATAATATTATTTTGTAGCAAAGTTCTACTTCACATACTAATTTTTAACAATTTCTACCTAATATTTACTGAAATATCACAGTTTTTGCATTAGCCCAAACAAAAGACAGCAACACAAAACAAGGCAACCAGTCCCGCAATAAGCCACAGCAGCAAAAGTCGTAACAACACCCGACAACCTCTTCGTTGCCATGACAACGCAACATCGCACAGCAACAGCTGCACGGCCCCGCATCAAGCACACAGCCTATTAAAGGATTTATGAAAATTTTGTGGAAGGATCTCCAAATAAATGTAGCATATTCCAAAATGGGACGAACAAAAGATGATTATAGTAATTTAAGCGTATAGTGATCAGAGGATTTTACACAGTTCCACCTCACGAAACCCAAAACAGAGAAGGATTTAGAAATCACAAGATTAATATGCCTACTAAAAGAAAAATTTGAGGTAAAAATGATGCCAAGATCTTTGGCCTCGGCAACAGATTCTAGCGAAGACTCCGCGATTGTATAATTCGTTGATAAAGCACTATGAATTTTTGCAAAAGTTACTTTAAAGCACTTTTTAATATTTAAAGAAAGGTGAGATTTTATACACTAAAGCTTAAGATTATTAATATCAGCCTGGAGCATAGTAGCTTCCCTTTCGTTTTTGATTATCGAAAATATTTTGAGGTCATCGGCATATAGCAAAAAATTTGCGAAAGAAAAACATGAGCTAATGTCATTTATGAATAATATAAAAAGTAGAGCACCTAAAATACTTCCCTGGGGCACCCCAGAGGAGGCAATGAATGCATCTGACGAAATGTCATCTATCGAGACAACACAGCGCCTGTTGATCAAGTAGGATTTAATCCACTTAAAAAAAAAACAGAATAAAAACCAAGATATGCTAACTTATTAAGTAAAATCGAATGAGAGACTCTATCAAAGGCTTTACTAAAGTCCGTATAAATACAGTCAACCTGGAATCCAGCAGAAAAAGACGTCATACAGTATTCACAAAATACAGCTAGGTTAGACACAGTAGATCTATTGGAAACAAAGCCATGTTGGTTAGGCAGGATTAAACTTTTAGTGATATAATACATTTTTTCTTTGACTATATATTCAAAAAGCTTCGATACATTATTTTTATTCCCACTCTTAAATATAGGGTTAATAGAAGTAATTTTCCCTTCCTCGATAAAGATGTCCGAC